CTCGGCTCGTTAGAATCGACCCCCCGCTCGGCTCGAGTTCGGGCTCGTCATTTGACGAGCCCGAGCAACCCACGAGCCGAGCTTTGATGAGCCAAGCCGGCGAGCCACGAGCCGACTCGGCCCATTTGACATCCCTAAATGTGCCTGCATCATTTTCCACTAGAAATGTTCTTTTGCTATTTTCACGAGAAATTGTTTTGGAGAGACTTCAAATTACAAGGAACTTCTAATTTTTTTGCAAACAACTTATTTTTGTTATTAATTCTTTTATAGTATTATTAACAAGAAGCACTAAACCAACATATTTTTGTATATCACTTAATAACGCATTAGCACATTTACACATGAGTTGGCTTGCTCAAAGCTCTACCCATCCCTGCACGGACGAACTTCTCACAAAATTTGTATATAACACAAATATGACTAATGGAATTGAAAAGGCATAGGCTTCTCCATTCTGATAATTTGTCGAAGAAAAATTACTTTAATTTTGCTGATCGTAGATCAACTTTTGGGTAGAAAATCTCCTTGCTTTCATTCAATATCTCTGAAGTTAAAAATAAAATAATAATAAATAAATAAATAACCAAGTATCTAATAGACTTTAAATACTAAAAATTAACTAATAAGAGCAAACTCTACAACTGTTAAGTGCTTGAAATATGCGTATTTTGGAATTTAAAAGAAAAATGAAATATGGAAAATAAAAATGAAAATAAAAGAGCTCTTGGCGTGCAAGTATGCAACCTCTGAAATAATGGTGGCAATGGACTGATCCGAAATGGCTTGGCCTTGTATGCCTGAGTTGGGCTCATATCTACAAACTAGACTTGATTCCACCATTTGACTAGTGGATCGAGCCATCCACGAGTGGCGACCCGTGAAAAAATTGAGTTTAATTCGATCCATGAATCGTATCAAAATAAATTTGAGTTGAGCCAACAAGTGACTTAGAAAATTTGCCACCTCTGATACGAACACTTTAATGTCTTGACATTCCAAGTATCGATGCATCCAGGGCTGGGCATGGTCCAAGAACCAAATTTGTCCCGAAATTTTTGAGTATTTAGTAAGTGGAACCGTTGGAATCGGTTTCAATACATGCAATTCTATTCGATTTAGATCGTGAGGTTCCGCACTATAATTAAATTTTGAAATATTTACAAAGCTATATCAACTCAACTAATGACATGCTCAATTTTAGTTATTACAAAATAACGTAGTCATATCTTATGTATCTTTTGAATATTTTTTTGTTGAGTTATTTATAAATTTGATTGTTAAAATCGTTGAAGGAGGAAGATATCCAGCTTACAATAATTAAGAGAAACGTTGTCGAACTTCAATTTCTATGTCCAAAATGGTAAAAATAGCACTATGGTAGAATAATAGATTGAGGTAAATTTTAGGTCAATTTAATTAAGTTAAGCTTGGACTGAAAATTAGAAGTAGAAAAAAAATCAAATTTTTGGATTTGAGTTATATAACTAGTTAGCAAATTTATTTTAAAAAATAAAATAATTTGACTTATTTAAAATAAAAAAATAAAAAAATTTAGGAATACTCGATTCTTATTCTATTCTTTGATTCTTGATGTAGAATCGAATCAAACCAATCCATTCTCAATTCAGATACTCATTCGAAAATTTAATTTAAGATGAATCGCTCGGTTCAATTCGGGTCCGACTTGATCAATCTGTTCAAAAATTTTGCCCAGCACTAGATGCGTCGCATTGTTGTAATGATCCACTTTCTATATTCCTTGGAAAATGCTTGTTAAAGACAGAAAATGTCCACTGAATCTATATTCCTTGGAAAATGCTTGTTAAAGACATTTTCTTGTTAAAAGACACAAAATGTCCACTGAATCTATATTCCTTGGAAAATGCTTGTTAAAGACAGAAAATGTCCACTTCTGTGGAGACTACTGACTAGTTATCATTCCAAAATATTTCCTTTTCAACCTTTAATCCAGTCCATGTTGATATCGAATTTTTAAAAGTAGCAATTTCGTCAACAAAAAATCCATCCTGTTGAACAATTGTACTAAAAACTCAGCTTAATGTATGCATATAAATTATGAGATTGTTACAACAAAAGGAGAAATGATAATAATAGAAAATAAAAATTCATCGGTTATTAAAAGCGTCACATCTGCGCCTAATCTCCCCCTTTCTTCCAGTCTTGACCCCGTACACACTCAACTTTTCCATTGCTCTTGCAAATGCCACAAAAAATGCATTCTGATTCTTTGAATACAGTTCCACATACCCTTTAGTTCTTGGATCCGAATTCAATGTGTGGTCCGAAGAAAGAATCCCTAGGCCTTTCTGCAAGTTCTGGTAATACATATTGTCGAATTTGTTCGGACTCATTACGTCGTTGAACACTGAAAGTGTTGGGTTTTTGTTGCAATCTGCACAAGCATTTCTCAGTGCCTGAGCAAATCTGGGATTGTAAGCTGGGTCTGATTGCGCATTTCTGCTGTAGTTGTAGAGAATGGAGCTGAATTCTTTGCAGTGTGAAAATCCAATGGTGTGGGCACCCGACAAAGCAACCATCTCTTGAATGGAAAATCCTCGGGATGTGAAAATCTGGATTATTTGAGTCATTGGCATTGTGGGTCTTGGTAAATTCCCTTCTACATAGGAAGCTTTCGAAATCAGAGAATCTTTGCGGCCTAGTTTTACAGTGTAATACGGGCCGCCCATCATTAGGACTAGATTTCGGGCCGCGACGGCGAGGATGTCAGCGCAGGAAACGACGCCGGGGCAAGCGAGTTCGACGGCCGTCTTGGCCCGAACCACCACGTCAAAGCCGTCACCGGGGAGGGAGAGGTTGATGTCAGCGTCGCGTTCGGCCTTGTTGAAGGGGGTGGAAGAGATGAGGACAGAGGCATCACATCCACCCATGAAGCAGTCGTGAAAGAAAAGGCGGAGCGTGGCAGCGGCAGTGGTGGGGGAGGTTATCTGCTTGTTTGTGGTGGCATCTTGCATTATTTGCTCAAATCTTGGGCATTTTTTCTGGTAATAACTAGTGCTTAAGATGGGCTGCCGCCGCTGGGAATATGCAGCGGTGGAAAATAGCAATAAAAGTGATAGCAAAAGGAATAATTTCAAAACCATTATCTCTGTTTTCTCTCTCAAAACTTTTAGAGAGAGAGAGGGGAGCAGTGGGAGTTGTTGCAGACAGAAAATTGGGCTGGGGAAATGGAGTTTTAGAGGGGATCTCTTCACTGGGGTCGATGAAATTGTAAATAATTAATTTTGAGCTTGCGAAGACGCGGTACGGTAAAATGTACACATGGGTTTGTCGGTGTGTGAGGA